CATGAGCAATCGATCTAGCCTATTTGCGATACTAAAATGTTGCCTCTAAATAGGACTTGTGGCATTAGGGAGACATTGAAATGTCCGATGTCTGGTGTCTCCCTCAGGTGAAACTTATGACGAAAATTGTCTCCTTAAGGGTACATTAACAGGAATACGATAGTAAGACTTGTAAATAACAACCTTTCATCCCCTAATAATTAAGGACGTTGTCTTTTCCGCATGTCATTCCGAATCGTGGCCATCCGTTTACTTGCACTTCAGCTATCGGTACGACCACTTTCTATCAGCAGTATGGACGCCTAGCAACCACATGAATATTGGTGTAATCTGGTTAGACCTTCTCAATATGCAACATATAATTAAATGTCAGACGACCAGCATTGTACCATAATACTCCAACAACATGTCTGTCCACTGATACCAGCAGAACTTTGTGCAATAATTTGAGCCACAAACAGCTGTCGAGTACGAGTCTACAAAGACGAATTGTATCACGGTAAACAACTAATGGTAAACACAGGTAAAATTATATAAACTAGGCAAATGAATACAGTATGAAGACGTTCATAAACAAAATGCTCAACGAACGGTCAAGGCAGCACGCCACTTGTCTTATAAATTACTTATTAAGGGGTTTTATTCAGCCGAATTTCATCTTCTTGTGTAATAACATTTCAGAGAACATAACTTCGTCTATCATATTCCGATCAGTAAAGAAATGGTCTGTCTTATCTCTCCTAACCCGCACGTACGACTTATAACTCATACGTACGACTTATAGCTCGCTCGTACGCCTTATAACTCGTACGTTCAACATATATCTCGTACGCACGCCATAACTCGTACTTACGATTTATAACTCGTACGTACGATGATACGACTTGAATAACCCGTATGTACGATTTATTACCCGTACGTACGGGTTATCATTTACATGGCGTACATGTACAGCTACTAAGTCGTATACTTACGGGTTATAAGGCGTACGTACATACGGGTTGTAAGACGAACGTACGGGTTATAATTTCCTGCAGCGCATGGCAAGTGGGCAATTTCCCATGCATACATATACATATTTCCCCGCCTTCCAACCTCCCCGATTAAAATGTTATTACATCATTAACGTTTCATCAAAACGATTTCATTTGAGCTGTGTTTTAAAACATCGCAGTCGCACATCACTTTCTTTGTGCATTCTGCATACAAATGAATACCTCCTTGATGAATCCTCAGTGGAATGAAAAATGAAAGGACGAAATTGCCAGGAGGTAAAATGCAAACCACGCGCCACTTAATAACACAGAGTAATAAGATCAGTACCGCCCGACGCAGAGCCGCGTACAACTCTTGGCGAGAACTTTTTTAATATATCACGAATTTAATAAAATCGAAATCCTAAAGCTCTCAGATTGTCGAATGCCAGGGGAGATGAAGCACTCAGCCCCCAAAACTCTAATATTGAGGGATCGCGCTGTTAATGGAAGCTTACGCGGGTAAATCGAGCCCCCAACTTAACCCCCAAGGGTACAGACCAGTAAATAGGCCAAAAATTGCCTACGCCGGCCAAATCACGATTTGTATACTGCTATTTTGCCCTCTTAATAGAGAGCTTTGTTCCCCTGGACTTGAGAGTTTGTCAAAATAAAGAGTCCCAGTTCTAAACCGGTTATTGAACTTGTATTTCTTGCAACTTTCTGGGTGAATTTGGCCTCTAAATTCGCTCTATTTTGCGATGGAGTGGAGGCATAATTTTTCAAAATGGCGATGGGCTTCAGGACTACTTTTATAGGTGTAATTATCTTTGGAGGGAAAAAGTTATAGGTTAATCGTCTAAAAAAACAAAACTTACAGAAAGTGAAGGAGAGAAAATCAAGCTTTAATTTGATGTATATCTTGATAGCAACGCTTTTTTGAAGTAGGGGTATTTACCATTATTTTGTGCCTATATATATGGGAATTAATTGACAGGTCTGCACCCCCCCCACGCATATATCGCGCGCGCTCATTACTGGCGCGCACGGATTAAGCCTGAGGATTACACGTGGGGCAGGTTTTTTAATAAAAGCGTGAAGAAACGATCGATGACCATAAGGAACCGGTGCATGACGTAGACCAATAAACAACAATGGCGCTGGCGGCTCCGCGTCAAATCTCGGAGGAATTTGAATTCGTTATACGGAAATTACAAGGGCTTGTCTCAAGATTGTCATATTGCCTTTTCTCATTTCGAGTGCTAAATCAATAAGCTCTAGTTTTCTTCGAGCTCAATATGACAGGGGTTTGGGTGTCAACATGTGGTGCAATATACCATGAAGGGTTAGTTCCTTTAAGACTGACGAGAAAGACTGTTGGTTTTGGAAGTAATAATAATAATAATAATTTGGTGCTTAATAGCGCTTTTATACCAAAGGTCCCAAAGTGCTTCACATTTATTACCCCTGATCATCAGGCCATGCGACCAGTTTTTGCAGCAGCTCGAGATCAGCGCATACTGGTCTCTACCTTCACAGGTACCCATTTATACTCCTGGATTGAGAGAGGCAATTGTAGTGAAGTGTCTTGCCTAAGTACACAAGCACCATGTTCCCCGTCAGGGTTCAAACCCACGTACCACCGCACGTGAGTTGAACACCGTAACCACTGGACCAGCACAGCGCTTCTCAATTTCACTTTTGCCCTCAGTGTTGTAGTAGAGTACATCAAAATCACAGCGAGTCCTCACAATTAAGTCCGTCACAAGTCATGCAGTCCCAATTCAAGTCACTAATCAAGTGAGCTTCGACGAATGAATTCCGTTGTTGCTTGTCCCCAGTTACTTGTGAATGGACGTTTGATTTACCTGTGACTGTACCTATGACGGACTCGTGATGGACTCGGCGAAAACACTGTTTTTATCCTATTGTATGTTAGTTCCGTGCAAACAATTTAATACCTTTTCCCCTTTGATCTGCGAGGCTTAGATGAAGAGGAAAGTCGCGGGCTTGCATACTCTGCAAAGTGAATGTCGGGTTAACTTTGACTGGCTATTATTATCCTCGCCCAGGCATGCTGGATATAATGAAAGCCTTTCATATTAAATTTCATTTCCGTTTCTCACATCCATCCGGACCTCTACACTCGAGACTGTTTTTCTCGATTCCCGCCTAGGGTCACTTCGCCGATTCTCTATCGCGACAGAGGACCATTACTGTCACTTTTCTCCGTGGCACTAATGGATGCCCGGCGGACACAATACAATAAGAGAGTGTAGGACACCTAAACACACCTACATAACACAGTCTAATTGCTGAAAATAGGGGCAGGCAGTGAGTGTCTGCGCTGATTTCTCCCCGCTGCTGTTTGCCATGTCATTTTTTTCCTTGCCAGTTATCGGCAAGAATCAATTTGAGATATACCGTGATGTTGACGCGTGTGCCCTCAATTTTCTCGCTGACCTTGACGCGAACGCACTCTGTGGCAATTATGGCGACCCTCAAAAGACTCAAATACGACCAGCCAGCCTGATACACATATAGGCCTACTTGTGCGGAAGACCTTTGTTTCCCTTCGTTTGTTTTCCTTTGTTCCTTTTGAAATCTCAAACTCCATAACGTTTCCCTTATGGGGTAGATTGATTTCTGAAGACTTCCTTATGGCATGGAGTCATCCGCAAAACTCCTCTCTTTTTAACCGAGCCAAAGCAAACAATTATTGCAGGGTTTCAAGCAGTATCTTGTTGTTTTGTTTACCTTTTCGGCAAATACATAATTGACAATATTCCCAGGAACCTATCTGCTGTATAAAAACGATTTAAAGGCATGGACTTCGATTATCGGGCTGTGAAATTCTGTTTTAAGGTAAATTCATCCTCATTTCAAAGATAGGCGAACATATCTTTCAGGATTTTCGACCAATGACGTGAAATGATTGCAATAGGCTTAAATAATCATAAACCTTCAAGGGTTGCAAACAAGCTCACTTCAACAAAGACAAAGAGCTTACATGCCCAACGACCATCTCGTCAATGCGGTGAATTGTTCATACACCAATGTGGATTCTGCCAGCTAGCCCTGTATCTATTTACCAGGTCGTGTTTCTGTTTTATACAAAACTTGAGGGAAAGTTCCGTATGCCCTTGTGCTCTACACTAATGCAGTGACCAAAGAAGTTAGACGCTATTACTGCGCATAAATATCTATGTTACTGAGATTGAACAACGCTCAAGCGAGGGGCGTAGGCAAGCGGTACATGCACCAACTGTGTGTTACCAAATGCGCGCGCCTCGACTTTCAGAACTCGTACGTCATCGTGGTTCCATCTGCAGGAATGGCTTCTTAGTTTGTTGGCCGGACTATAGTCAACAGACGAATCCTGATCGCTTACAACAGCAGAACTATCTCTACTATAAAAAGAGTAAGCATTTAGTTGGGAAGGAATGCGCACTCCCAGATATTTCTGTACCCACAAGGTCCATACTTTTGAGACGCTTGGTGGCAGCACACACAGCACGGTCCTTTCGAATTGTTTACGTCATGTTTAAGTTAACGTGCACATGTTCCCAATGACATAGGCACCAGACGCTTTAGAGTGTAATTCATTCAATCAAATCTACTTTTCACTTCGACTTTTCACTGGCACGATTCTTTGTCGGAGAATTTCAATATTCTTAGGCAGAATACGTCAGTGTCACCGTAAGCCCCAAAATGGTGATTGATTATAAGCAAAGAAAATAGTGACCAGTAGAGCCAAGAAAAAATTATCTCGGGCAAGTTTCGAGCCGCTGCTCAACCGTAAGCAATCAAGTATGTTACACTAACATAAACAATGTGCACTGCAGCCGCTATGTCTATTTCTCCGCCTTTAAAGACGTACATGGAGAGTTGTCATTTTCAGACACATTATTATGAGCAAATTCCGTGTTTGATGTTAGCGTGTTCGTGCTGTACCAACTCCAACGCTGGGCCCAGGTAATAGACTACATTTCGACTGACGCAAATTTACAACGCTATGAAAACCAATACAATTACAACCGATTACACCTTTATTAACAAAGCAGATGATACACACTGGTCTTCGAACGGAGCTAATAATTGAAAGACTTTTAAAGAAAGTTTGGTCCATTGTTTTCAGTTAGCTTTGTCCCTATACAAAGTGGTCTGCATACTGCAAATACTATCGCATTATCACACGGGTATTTGTCTTTGATGGTACACATTATTAATAGATTCAGAAGAATCGGTTTCGTATCCCGCTTAAGCGTCCGGAATGTTTAGGCCCCCTTTTTATTATTTGAGGGACCCCGGCTCGATGTGGGATCTGTTCTACTACAGGATGACAATATACTATAATTTGAGGCAAGAACAAAGTGACTATTATTTTATTTGAAATTTAAAATCTTGAAATATGATCTACAGCGTGAGAGGCGACCCACTAGGCCGGAGAGGGAGGCGGGGTTAGGACCAAAACACCTCCTCCCACTCCGCCTAAGCAGTGTAGCTGATCATCTACACGGCTTAACTGGGAATTTGCAAGGATGTAGGTGGGGATCGTAATATTCGCCGACAGTCACTGTTCTGTGTCGTCCGAAGGTCGTCCTGAGGGCGGCTTAAGACTAGAACCGCTCACCCTTCGTCAATAGACTGGGGGAGAGATAGACCGATCTCAGAACGTCATCAATTTATGTTCACGGATGCCCCCTTCAATGGCGAAACCATTGTGCCAGCTATGATGGATTACAATGTATCAAATCGACAGCTAGCACAATGCTTGCACCATTGAAGGGGGCCTCCATGAGTGTAGGATAGCGTACTCGGATTGGTCGAAAGGTTTCGTGATTAAGCGCAGCTTATATGGCTTGCTACTTGAAATCAAGTACACACGGTATGTATGCACATACACTATTCCCGTGCAATAAGTGCCGGTGCATATAATGTTATGGCACATTGAGAAAACTTGACGAGGTATCATTAAATTTTATGTCAAACTTGGCATCGAATGTTTGACAGTGTATAATCACTAACTGCTTTCGGATAATACAAAGTATGTGAAATTGAGATATGATTGCAATATATGAGTTGTATACCAGCTGAAGCACCTTATTTCAGATAGGATAAAACAATTTCTTCGCTTTTAAGTATCAAAGACTTTAGCAAGTCATTGACGACAAGGCAATGACAAACCCAAATGAAATGAATAAGTGTGTAAAACCCATCAGTAAACCATAACAAAAGCCGTTTGGGGTCAAATCTGTTTTGTTGCAAACTTATCTGTGTTTTGCTCTGAAGTTCTGAATTTCGGACAAAGGAACCTTCGGACTATTGAACCTTCGGACTAAGGAACCTTCGGAATAACGAACCTTGGGACTGTCGAACCTTACTACTATCGGGCTGTAACCGTTCTTACACCGAGAAGGCAAACAGTGGCTGCCATACACTTGGACCAAGACTTGCACACTGTTTCTCTATGCTCCCAAACGCACGAAGCTGTTTCCATTGATATTTCGACGACCCGCCATCGATCGTCGTGCACAATTTTTTTAGCGGGAGCAGCCTGCGAGGAGGATGCGGCGATTTCACACTTGCACTGTTTCCCCAGTGTTGATACAAGGCATACAGTTTGTGATGATTATGGATTTCCCTCTCCCCGTTTACCGGGCAGATGTTATCGATTCGTCGCCACATTTCCCGCGACCTAGTGGTTGCATACCCGTCCTGGTTGGCCACAGATGTGCAGCTGACATCCGCTATCGCGGTCCACACCAGTTCATTTTGGGAAATTTACATTCCAACAGCGTCCATATACCTTACCAGTATGGTATGCGCAGCCTGGGTTATTACCCAGGGGCGCTCAATACGGCGGCCATCTTTGTATCGTCTTGCAGAGTGGTGCAAGTTACAGTTTGCACACGTAGGCTCGATCTGAATCACACTGAGTGCAATATCTTCGGTGGGCGGAGCCTCTATACCCTCTTTACAATGTACGCCATCAAAGACTTCAGGAAATAGAAGGCAGTTTGAGAAGTTCCAACGGAACAGCACTTTAAAGGCACACTATTTGCTTGACGGTTGTATAATACTTTGATCAGCACAATAGTGGATAATGTTATTTCGATATATTTCTGATAGGTAGAATTAAACGCTCTTCCAATGGCATTCCACAACCAAGATATCTTTTGTTTTCTATTGTCAATGTGCACGCCAGTAGTAACCCAAATGCTTTTACTCGAAAGTTTCACCTTCACCAGAGGAAAAGATCACTTTGCGAAGTTAACAAGCTTAAAATGACCTCACCAACATTAAATAATTTCATGTACAATATATGTTTAGACGATTCTTTCAAAAGTATGCGCAATTTACAAACATCCTGTGAGCATCAATACGTTTCTTGTTTCTGTTGTTTCCTTGGCCACATGATCACGACGATACCACACAATGGACATACCAGAAAGGCATCTTTCTTTTTCTGTTGTTATGACAACCTGATGTTCGAGTTTGCTATTCTTCTGTTTCACTTTATGTCTGACCAGCAGCATATTACTCTGCATGCAGATTCATCAGGTTCACCTTTTAAAGTCTTCTCAAGTTTGGGTACTCTGGAATGTAAGCCTTTCAGGTACAAAATTTGCCAGCTGTGTCATGCGTTGTTATTTCACTGGATCCATAAAGACTCGCGTGAGATTGTTTTTCGTGATCATGTGAACACGCAGGCTCTCATCTCCTTATCACTAAGGTTGCAACCAAGATGGCGGCCAAGGCGACTAAACCATGTAGTCTGTTATGGGCCACAGAGGGCGCTGCATTGCAAAGGTTCGAGTTGCAGCAGGAACGGCAGACGCCCGACTCCTCCGTGGACTCGCCGCACATATCCACGTCCGTGCAGTTTTGGAAGAATTTGCAGCCCCGCGTGTAGCTCGTGATGATGCCTGCGGCTTTCTGTTTCACGACCTGGAAAGATTTACAAAACGAGGTACTAATCAGCGAAATAGAAGTATCAGTCGTCAAAAGGACCATCTCAGGGCAACCTTTGTTAAACTTCTTACCAGACGTTTATTACTCGTGACTGGGACTCGGACTCTAGTCCGTTTCGAGTCACATTTTCCGTGTCTCGAGTCACGATGACAAATGACTTGGACTCGGACTTGACGCTGCGGACTCGGAATTGGACTCGGACTCGACCTGCGTGATTCGGGACTCGACCTGCTTGACTCGGGACTCGACCAAAATTAATCTTTCGCGGTAGAATCGCGTCAACGCAGCTTGTGAAACATTGTCCAGTGACGTGATATACAAATTGACGCGGAACGCGCACTCTGATAGACAAACAAAACTAAACGTACACAATTCCAAAGGGTTGTTTAAGGGGCGTGGCTAACTCGCAAACGGCGATAGGTCAATTACCACAAATCACTTATCTCTTCTAAACAATGTAATTACAAATTATTTTGAAAACGATCCTCTCATGAGCAAGCAATACAATCTGTGGGGTATTGAAGAAAATAGCGTGGGATGTGCGGCTGGCTTGTTTCCGATGTATTGATTCGAGGAATAAATGTATTGAAACATGCCCAGCGTCCACACTTAATATGGCGTAAATGCAAGCTTGATAGTGTTCGGTACCAGATTATCCTTTCCAGATGCAGACACTGCATGCAATGCCTTACCTTATGAAAGGCAGATATGTTTTACATATATTACCAGTTCATTAAATTGGAGAAAAGCTGTGAAAAATGGAAACATTTACACTGTGAGATTTAAACAATACCGCACAATTTAGTTTCCAATATTAGAGGTTTGGACTCGCTGTGAAAACCGAGATACCACTCTGACTTTGCAACGCTGATGATTGTCACTTACACGGCCTATGTTTCAAATATCCAAACTTCATATTTAAAACATTTATTAACTGCGTTCGAAAACTTCAGAAGCAGGTGTTTAATATTTGACGTCCAAACGGTAAAAAATACATTGACCTCATTATATCACAGGCGAAGAAAAACTAACGATGTCAACTTCACATTAATAATTGTTATTATGGGGTCCGCTCATAAGTCCGACGCCTGATAGGTCCGACGCCTCATAAGTCCGAAATTTTTGGCGTCAGACCTATATGAGGCGTCAGACTAACATAAGCACTCATGCAGATCATGTTGAAATTGGCAACAGGAACATTAGCCTTCAACTTCCTAATGATGTCAGGAAAGGTACTCAGCTGAGATACAGTAATTGTGAGGTGGTGTGCGCGTCATTCCAGCAGCTGACTTATCTTTAATGTTATAAGGCAAAGTGAACGGAAAGACATCTTGAATGATTCTGCACGAAAGTACTCTAGGTCGTTTACATAAAAACACTCTGTCTTCTTAGAATCTATTTAACGGAATCACTCATGCCAGTCTGATGTACTGAGTGTCTGTTTTAGCATGACTTTCTAACATCAACTAGGATTAGTCTGAATTATATAGATTCCTAATCGGGGATTGGGGACCACTTTGCACTGTCGAACGCAATTACACGCGAAATAATATCTTTTCAGCATGGTGTTGTTTATATTGCTATGTCTGTAATGCTGAGATCTGGTTTTATAGTATATCAACTGGGTCCGAATCATTGAAAGAGTATTTTGAAAATTCAAGGAGCCAAAACATCAGGTTTATACGTCGGTGAAGGGCAAAAACCTAATTTGATTTACATCACCCCGACGCAAAAATTCCATCTTATGAATTCATCAGGTTAGTTGTTATCAAACACCCGTCTTTCTTGCTTCTAACGAAAGACAATTCACCAATGACAAATGGTCTGCTCCACCTTTAATGCACGACAGACAATGAAAAACGGTCACGCAGGGTCCCGTATGGCACAGAAAAAAAACCTCCTCTCAAAGAAAGATCACCAATTAATCCCCAACAATTCATCACTTGGGTCATAATAATGTTGTTGTGGCTTGGTAGACATATTAAATTGGTACCTGCAGTCTGACAGTGGCGTGATATATGAGGTAATTAGGTTGGAAACCTGTTTTTGCTATATACAACCTGGTTTTATCATAAGTAAATCGATAATATGCCTACGGCTGTGTGGAATTGTTATGCATCACATGCTGATTGTAACACTGATGACGGGAAATTAAAGTAATGATACCAAACGAAAAGCAATGTGGAAGAACGCTATACGGACACAACAATGGAAAGCTAAACATTTACAAATACTGCAAGTGAAACTTGCGCGATCCCCTGGCATGCTGGTAGCACTTACACAGTCAGTTAGTATATATAAGCACACTTTTCGTTTGACCTAGCCAAAATCAACAATGACCTCATTTGATTTCTAGATGACCTTTGACCTAAATCGTCTCAAGTCATCTGAAGTCCCCCTATACCCAAAGATTATTGTCACCAAGTTTGATTGAGAATGAAGTCTGACTTTTCATATGACATCACTAAACAGTTAATCGAACCAAAATGGAGCTCACAGACACACAGAAGAAATAAACTATGACAAGACCCCCTTTTGTGGCTTAAAAACCATGGGGATTAAAAGAGACGTAGAGACTCGACGTTTCGATAAGCATGCTGCGATCATCACCATGACATAAGATACTGGTCAGAGCATATACTAGGAAAAAAAGTCGAATATTTACGCGCGGCTCATTTCTGACCAATATTTCTCATACTGAGTCAGTTACTGTTGTACTTCTGATATTGTTTACGCATGTTCCTTCCACGTCGTATTCTTCGTCGGGACGTCACAAAATTTGCCCTTATCAAAAACATCAAATGCAAAAACCGAAGTAATACAAAAGTGTCGCCTCCACCCAAAGCGCCAAATCAAATTAATCAGAACAGTGTTTGCGGTTACAATGGCACGTCAAATCAAATGTAACCATAGGGAGTAATTTGTTACCAAATAAGATGCGATGCCACGGCCTCCGAATTCAGGGTTTTTATCTATTTAGAAATCTCCAGCGATCGCTGACCGGAGTTAGATCATTCTGGCATCAGATCAAATACTCAATTTTCGTCACTGCCGCGCCGATGTCAACCTTTACAAAGTGATTGAATCCCCTGCACTCGCTGATTAAATTGGTTGAAATATAGATGCAGGGTCACAGCAGGTAAATGCTGGAACAACTTCTCGTTTTGCTGGGCATTACAGTTAGAAGGGTTTGTTCAAACAAAATGGGTAATGTTTATGAATTATTCTCTTCTCTGGTGGCAAGTCATGACCTGCATGGGCCCGTGCAATTCATGTGAAAGAATTACATTCATTAACGATTGGCGAAATAACCAAGAAGGCAGGAAATCTAAACATTTCCCCATTTTAACAGATTCCAGCTAAGTTCATAGAATCTACTTCAAGAAAGCTTTAAACGATTCCAACGTCTGGCATCGAATAGGTATACGTGTATACTTGGATCGTGCATGGCTTTAGTATCACGCGTCTGTCGTGGGCGGTGACGGGATAAGGTTGCAACAATACACAAGGGAACCAACAAAGAAAGATATTTGAGTTTCACTGGAGATTACTTCTCGAATCCCGACGACTGCAATGACAACCACGGAGGATTCAGACTCAGAAACTGGACGCTCCATAAAGGTGTGCTGCTTGACAGCCGATCCAGGCAACACCCAAACTTACTTCACCTTTCACAACCTGCTATTTGATTTTCCCGGCCAGAAACCTCAAACCAATATTGGTAAAACTTAAATGGCAAACTCCGGGCTAGACAAATGCACTTCCTAGCGATCGCGCTCGCACTCACGCTCGCTGCGTTAACAAAAAGAAGGGTCGACAATTGGCGTGTCTTCCGATCAATCAAAAATGTGAAACGAAAAACCTGGGGCGACGGGGCATCGGCGCAGTTGAGCCGTCTTCCGTGGACTCGGCGGAGATCCTCATAAGTAAAACTGGGGGGATTGGGTTTCCGCGAGCGCGAATTAAGAGATGAAATCAAGACGCCCGGTGTCGCGGCAAGGTGGGATGGAAGCTGCAGAAAGGATGAGATCGCGTGCGTCGTCTCACGTGTCGCATACGAACACTGCAACAAGACGTAAGGTATTGATTGAAAAGGTTTACTCAAACGTCGACAGTATGGAAAACAATATTGGGATCATATCAGCAGGATTTACAGTTCGTTCGCACTTGGTATAAACCGGCCTTTAATCTATACATACTGATGTACCAAAACAGCCCAAACTGTTTGCGGTTTTAATGTTTTCTTTACTCCGTGTAGGTAATACTGAGTATTTATAATTGGTATAGTTGGTATCAAGATTATTTTCACATCTGACGACTTCCCAAAGAGATTTCTAATTCATTTCGTAAGTGACTGCGTCAAAAGTGACTGCGTCATATTAACGGTGTTCAAATCAGTGGCTCGAATTGACTCGAACATACATTTGAGTCGACTCGACAGCACACAGTGACTCGACTCAACTCGACTCGACCTTTTTGCCCTAATGACTCGTATCGAGTAAATTTCTTAAAATGACTCGACTCGACTCAACAACTCTGGTGCGTACAATGGGGGGGGGGGGGGGAGGGGATTCAAACCACTGCGTATGTCATGCGTATGGGGGGGGGGGTGGGAGAGGAGGGGTCTCAAAAAGTCGGCAGTTCGTGCGTACGTACTTTATGGACGGCCCCTATATAAGTGACTGCCGGTAATGGATTTTTGATATACACAGGTTCTCTGACTGAAATGACATCACTTTTTTGCTCATGAATATGACAATTCGCAAAAACGTAAAAAACAAAACAAATTACGTTGCATGGGTCCTTTAAAACGCATCGTTGCCTTGGGACTGTTAATCACAAATAGAAAAATATGACGAGAGAACCGGTTCATATGGAGTGGTGATAACCGTTTGCAGAATCTGCTGGTACATTCATTCCCTTGCCGGTAATTGTTTTTGTCATTACGTACGGCATTTCATTATTTGATAGTGAAAGTTAACTGCAGGTGCAAAAGGTTATGAAAAACACCTGGTAGATTGCCAGGAAAAAACAATTGACCCCATAAACGTCAAGACGGAAAAATGTTTATAGTGTCGAGCAATTTAGCGTTTTGTGCATGGCACTTTTTATAATATATTTATACGAATCATTTTTATGCATGTTGGGCTTTGAAATCATTTTAATTAACATATCTGAAAGTTGTTATTAAAATAGTATTGGTTCTAGAATATGAGGAAGGACTAATTCTCATATACAAACAAATCTATAATGACTGTTGATAAGAACTGTATTCAAGCAAGCTCGACTAAGTCTAGAATCCATCGGATGTAGGTAAGTAACTCTTCGCGTCATTATCATTTTTCGTTCTCACGCAAGTACGCGATGTGAAAACAAACGTGATCGAACAAGGAGACCTGGGCAGAAAGTCCGGATGTGCAAGGTCGGAAGTAAAATTCGTTTTTACCCATCTCCAACTGATTTCTCATCATTTTTTTTTTCTTCTGGAATGCCAAGATAACATTCCGACGTGGATGTTTCTTGGGGTGATTACATTTAGAAATCATTCTGTCAATACTTATAGTCTAACTTAGCAAGAGAAAGTGCAATTCGTGTAAAATGTCTATAAAAAGGGTCACGGACGGGTCTGGAAGCTCAAAGACAAAATGGCGTACTTTCAGGCTCAATACGTGTTCTTGTAAAGAATGCCTTCTAAAAAACTTACCGTGCAACTTGGCGCTAGTTGGAATGTCTTCTGGATTCCCTGTTCCTCCCTGGTTATCGTGTACGGGCACTGGACCGTCTCTTCCACCTCGCCGCTCTGGCACTGCGACAACTTGCTCCGGAAATCCTCCTCAAACTCGTGGGCGGTGCACCGGTAGCACTCCAAGTAAGCCACCAGGTCTTGGGTCGCGGCCTCGCAGCTTGCCCGGACAACCAGCAGAGCTAGGGACAAGAAGAAAATCACGATGCACGTTACACGCTTGTCACGTTGGATGTACCTGGGAAAACTGTCGTGTGCTGCACCAACGCTGTCCATCCCGGCACCTTTGGTATCGCTCTCACCAAACATTGCATCGATTGTATACGCACGTTCCATCGACGATAAATGATAGTAGTAGGCCCTACATGAACCAATGCAAGACTCCTTTAAGCGTGCTCACACACGTGCATCAGCTCATGCAATAAGCTACAGGTGGCTCAGCAGACCAACAAACCGACGAAACGTTCCCGTAAGCGTTAACTGGACCCGCACAGTGATCTCACGAAATCCTAACGTATACGACTCACGTTCGAGCGATGAATGATGCTTTCACGTCGGGTATCGATCTTGTAAAGCATCGATGTGATATATTGCACCAGCACCGCCGGCGGCGGCGTATGGGTCTGCGTGGAAAAGTCAACAAATTACCCAATCCTGCAGGGCATATAAATGTCGACAGACCACTGATGTATCGTGCAATAACTGTCTCTGGAAGCTTCAATATCAAGACAAAATTTCCCACTATCTTGACATTTCTTCCCTCTCTCGTAAGCGAACACGAAATCGCCAAATTGGGACAGGTGTAAAGCTGCTGATTGATAGCGCAATATGTTAATAACTCAGCGCCCTCGTGCGCCCAAAATATATAATAAATCAGTAAAACACACAATCGGCTATGGATGATTTCAGATCACCGGCGTCGGGAGAGGTCTTCATTTTTTTTCTTCCCATTTTTATAATCTAGCGGGAAATGAAAACTGGCTGTCGACCGTAACAAATAAGACACAAATCAACTCCTTGCACACAACTCCTCCGGCGGTGAAAATGCGTTTCGCACGACTCTTCATTGGCGCCGTTGAGAGTGTATACGTTCTTCGCTGGCAAAACGCTGGGAGCATTTTTTTTCCCAGCGAAACTGAATATTACGGGGAAAAAACACCTCTAGTCAGCCAGTTATTGCTTTTTCACTTTTTAATCCCACGCGGATATGAGCACGAACCCCGCTTAGCGTGAATAAAATATGAGAGCGTTCGCATGGGGGAAGATGTTAACCTTCTCGGCCAATGAGACTTTGTTATTAAAAACAACCCCCGGGTCGAAATATGAGTTGGTTTTCATCAATTCTGTTAATCCGACAAGATGGCGTGCAACAAGGACACGGAAGGAGGAAAAAAAATCAGACACAAGCCAATTGATCGTTCAGGACGTCAACCTTTTTTCGCGGGGAATCCCTAGAGTGGCTCACGTCTCGCGTAACTCGCCGTGGCCAAGGATAACAATTCACAACTCTACTACAAGCAAAACCTCGCCTCGGGGTTTTTACTAGCCCCGCGACGCGCGTCCACGTTGCGCGCAGACTCCCCGGAAGGTCACTGCCGTTCAAATCGCGCCGATTTTTCGCGATCAATTTCTAACAGGCGCTATAAATATTTAGTTTACATCTTTTTCTTCTTTTTTTTACTTAAGCGAATCCTGCCGGGAAAGAAATCGGTGGCGACAGAGCTATGTTTGCTTTGTGGTGGAACCACGCTGTTAATGTCAATGCGGGTTTATAGCCTGTGGCGACTTCATTTAAGAATAGTGGACACATTTTTTTTACCAATTCCAAAATGTCAATTTTTTACATTGTTGCTTTAACACTAAAAGGCCCGGGTACGGATACCCTTTGCAAAAAGGTTTTCTCCCGACCCGAGCTTTCCCGACTTTTAACTCTCGAGTCTTGCGCATCTTTTGATACCAAAAACATAAAAATTCCGAAACTTTTTCGGCGCTATGTGCCGTGAAAAGTGGATTTCCCCATATATGAGTGTATACAAAGCAGAATTACCAGTAGTGCATATGAATAATTAATTATCCATAATTCCAAATCCCTTTAATCTATTGTCATGAAATTTCTTGGGTATGTTCATATTAAGTTGTTCTATGCATGAACCGAGTTTCATAATTTATCGCCACTCGATGGCCGATATTTAAGGGGAGGGGCGGAGTCCGCCCCCAACTGTGAGATGGTCAAAATAGCCCGGCCCCTTTAGGGTTTACGAAGATTAACTGCACTATTTTGTTGGTGGGAATTAACGCCAAAATTGGCACTTAAGTCACCAGACCACAGTATAATTATAACGCAGTTCTGTGCATGTAATTCAAGAGTCAGTAGGCAACTTTCTATAGTTTTAAAGTGCATTAGTGCATATAATTATTGTGCACCGTCAGTGTCAGTGTCAGCTTCACATAAAATCTGATATGCCTTTGTTCTACTATAAATAACAACAGTCATGTCTGGCACCGGGAGAACTGGTGCACTAAATGTCAATTTGAAGTGTGTGGGTGAAAGACATTGCAAGCGTAGCTGCGTGATGCATGAAAAAGACATTAGTTCATGGATTCTACATTCCTAAACCTCATTATGCAATAATGTTTTGATGACTGTAAGGTACTTTAATGCACCAGTAGTACTTTTGTTCACTGCATTTTAATAACCAGACTTAATTCATCATTTCAATAATGGTATACTGTCCGTGTACTATTTTCGAGTTTTTCAATTGCTGTTTTCTCGCAATATAATCGCAATCCACTTTAAAATGAGAAAACGAAAAAGTAAAAATGGCCAACATTATTTTAGTTGTGGAATAATAACATTACAACGATTCTCTTTAGTTAATTGAAGATGAACATCACAAATCTGTACCGTGTTTTTTTCTCTTTCGACGGGTCTGTTTTCCACCAGTTTGCAATTCGCCAAATTCTCAGGATTCCTGCAACCCAGTTCATGCACAGACCGGAACGCACACACACTCTGGATTGGTTTCACATCAGTGGCAGGGAATTAGGCTACAATATGGCCGCTTGACGAGTATTGGACAAAATTTACTTATTACTGGAATGTTTTTTTTTTCTTTTCTGGTCACATCTACAACGTATACATCCTGCGATTCTGCATGGGCTAACAACGCAGAGAACGGAGAATAATTTTTATTCATTATCAACGGAAAACTTTGATATTATTATTTTTTGATGGGGATATATCTGAATTACTGAAGGAACGATTAAAACTATATCACTTTCATATCCTCTTTGCAAGACCCATAAGTCAAAATTAATCATTTGGTCACTATAGCGCTGGAAACCGCCCAGCACTGAATGACTTTATGTCTTCTTCAGTGAATAAACACAATGTAATACAATATAGTACAACTACTAATGGGTTGGCTTTTTATATGAAAATCAATCGGTTTTTTTTTTGGGGGGGGGGGGTCGCCTTGAAGGGACAAATCTATTTTAGTATGTTGCTGGTCCACCTCCGTTCTGTCGAGAGATCGAATTCTGAGATCAATGTTCACCCATGCATGTCATTGTCCCGTGCACACACTTGTTTTAGCCCTTATGATCACGTTTACCGCAAGCCATTTTCTTTACGCAATTACGAATTGCCTCGCGTCTTATCAAAGCAATCACACAGTTTCCTTCGAGTGGTCATCTCATCTAAAGGCCAAGACGTTTCAGGATTTACCCTCAGACTCAAAAAAAAAAAAAATCAATTTTCAGTTTTCAATTTGGTTTCATGGCCCTTCATATTCAATTTGCTTTGTCCAAGGACAATTGGTCTCTAGCCGCTTCAATTCAGATAAAAGGACGGTTGGCTGGAAGCACTCCATATAATATTATAAAGCTAGTGATGTTATCATCCAAATTCCCCAAACTATACTCTGCTAGACTGCAGTAACTGACAGCGGTTCAGAAACTCACGCGAATGGAAGCCTTTAAGTTCGTTAACGCTGCTTGACGGGTCTCTGTCTCCGGGAGAGTTCACCCATCGGCAAAGTTTCGGTTCTCTCGTGGAGAACAGCGCGGCACATCAAAAGCTCATGAGCCGGCTCCGCCGGTGATGCCTTATGTGGAAACATTCGATAAGTTTGCTTACGATTTCATCGCCTATATCCATCTCCCGAATGCTTCGGGGTAAAATCAAATCTGATTTCGTGAAGTCTACCTTATAGAGCAACGACTTTCAATGTTCTTGTTTAAGCCCACGCATAAAACCCGTCATTCCATTCCGCTTCAAGGAAGGCATGCGGCGTTAATAAACTTCATTTTCAACGGTATCATATCCGCGAGGCATAGAGTCTCATATTTCTTCAAGTAATCTCACATTGTCCCCTCTTTCTTTGCAATGAGACACTTGCAGTTATTTCCTGGTCATCAGCCGTTAACACAACGCAATGGTGCCCCTTCTTCTTATAGGTTTTGAACGACATTCCGATGGCTTGGGTTGCTTGATAGACAAGGGCTAGGTTAATCTCGACGACTCGAAACTTTCCAGAAGGTGGAAGTTCGAAATAGCGGGAGGAGAAATTTGACACGTTTGCGCTCTCCGTGATATGAAAGAAACTTGTATCTTTATTCCGCTTTATTCAGTGGATTACAACATGAAATGCTGGCTTAAAGGGATATTACGGCCTGGAATACGCTCAATTGGGCTACAAATCGTGTTTTAAACGAAATGATATTAAATACAAAGAGCATTTAAAAGCAGAATATAAACGTCCACGCAACCACCCTTTAAAAAGTTCGCGTTTTTTTGGGTTCCTCTTGCGAGAACCATGCGAGAACGAATTTCGGGGTTCACAATATTTTGGCCCCGAAAAACGAGCTGTTCATAAAATGAGTGTTGTACACAAAAAGCAAACGCAAGCAGGCCTACACTGGATTTGATTGGTTCCCTCAGTTGATAAGCACTGTTTTATATAGAAAAGCGCTTCACACGCAAATTCAGCATTGCAGACAAACGTTTTGGAAACGGCGATTTTAAAAGAGATCATGACAAATGATCCAACGTAACTAACGTTGATTTTACAAAATCATGATTCACGAGTACCTGCGTCACTGATGCATTACCCATGTCCCTTTATCTTCCACAGGAGACGTTAAATTTGCATCAATCTTATAATTTTAGTCTGGGCCTTAAGTCATCCTCGACGGAGCTCTCAAACAGCAACGGAGATATTCCGTATACCAAATTGTCTTGCACGGCATTGTAACAAACGATACGAAAGAGTCAATAATATTGCTGGGACCGCACGTACCTGGTATTTGTTCAAAGGCAGAGGGTTTTGCTACGTTTCCCGCTGTGTTTGTAATCACTTCCGGCAAATTATTATTTTTTTCGTCTCACAAAATTTCTTGCGCAAACAATTTGCAAGCGCACACTACGCCGATGGCATTTTCGAGGCCGGGAAATATATCGTCATATCAATGAGCAAGAAGCGTCGTTTCTTGACATGCGATTCGTAGTGTTTATTTGTGTCCTGCAGAAACAGATGTGCACACATTCCAAACTTGTGGAGGAATGACATCTGTCATTTTGCAATGGATGTGTCTTACAGAAACAGGCGCGTAAAGAAACCACTCGTTGTTTTCATCGAATGCTAACTCGTGGAAAGATGATTCCCCCTCCACTTTTTCTTTTAACTTTTATGGCACGATCGGGAAGCGATTCCACACATATGGATCGCCCAGTTGCTGCTCGTCTGTGGTACCTTCGTCGAACCTTGTTGATGTCAAAGTCTGTACGAAAACACCCACTCCTTTCAATGGAAATTGCCTGGATATCAATAATTCACGAGTTTCCGAATGCGTAC